ACAAAGACAGTTATGAGCCAGCACATGACCTAGTTTTGAAGTTAAGAGAGCAGTAGGGAAAATCTTCACTTAGTTTCCACCTTAGTTAGAGATGTGTCTTACCTGACGGTCAACTTCACAGGCTCAGGTGACCCATTGACACTGACGAGGAACTCTTGTTCGAAGTGCCCCAGGATGGCAGAACTGAAGGAGATCTGGACAGCCTGGACTCCACCTGGTTCAATGATTCCTTCCTTGGGATTGAAGATGAAGCAGGCCCCCGAAGCCGAAGTTGGAGGGTTCACGTTGAAGAGGGCATCAATGCTGCCTTGGTTGGACAGTATTGCCTGTACCAAAACAGAGGTAAAATTGCCAAGGGAGACAAGGGGCATCTGACTTACTTTCACACAAGCATGTGGCTATATTGTTTAGTACTAACACAGAAACAGCCGTAGGAATTAGAATCAAAGAAAAACTCGAGGGGAGAAATGAATAGTCTTCTGACGTGAATGTTTGAAGATAGAAATCCCAAACCAGAAAGTAATTTTGCTTTTAGTCTCTTTTTTAAAATGGGGTTGGTCATATGTATTATACTCATGCTATAAAGGCTGATCATAATCACAGCTACTGAAGAAGAGCCATAAGGATCTTTTTCTGATACTTTCTAGCAAGTAACTGAGGGAAGATATGTATTTCTCTAATATGCATGAGAAGGTTGAGATTAAGTGGCATACAGAAAAATAAAAAGAAAATCAGAGTAGAAGAGCAAGAACTCCCTAAGCCTATGTTCGTAATGGTGCTTGAAGAACATGACTGAGACATCATTGCCGATTCCAGATAATAAGGATTCTCTTTGTTGTGCTATTAGATTTCATCCTATTAGGATATTTTCATTTCAAACTCTTATTGGACAAATAATTGGGGATACTTATATAAACAACTGTTTTACTATAGAAAAGTTTTATTCCTATATACTAGTGTTATGGAACCGTATTATTGCCCATTATTTGATGCACACTAGTGTGTACGTACAACGCTCATGCCTGGCATTCAGAGTCCTCCACAGCTGGCTGGCTACTGCCCCCACTCCCACCTCCCACCCTTCCTGTCCGTGAACCTGTGCGATAGCCACACAGTTCCATTCCTGGGTTTCCAAGACACAATCTTTATTCCTTGCTAATGCTTACACCTGAATGGGTAAACAGCATGTTCTCTCTTTTTATGTAGGAATTGCCCTTGACCTACTCTCACGGCATTGGAGGAAAAAGCACAGGAGATCATGAAGAAACATTCAGAAAGGTATGTAGGCCATGTCAAGGGAGGAGAATTTCTAGAAGGGAAATGTGGAAGAAAGTTAAGGAGAATAAGTTCTGAGAAAATGTTGCAAATTTAAAAAATTTTAATTAGAGGTCACCCCTGCCCTTGAAGAAGAGAAGAACTCTAATGGAGTATGATTGCAGAATCCAGGGTACAAATGTTTAGGAAGTAGGTACAAAGGAAATAATGGTTGACTACTCTAGGTTCTTGTTTTAAGATTAGTGGTGGAAAGTGAGAATGGGGGGGCAAAGCTGAGCGGTGGTATGGCGGAGGAAACCCAGTATGTTTGTATTAAATGAGATAAAACATACTCAGTGCCTGTCCTAGAGGTTTGTTATTGTAATGAGAGGAGGAGGCTAGGGAACCGAGGGAAGGGAGTCTGGGTGGAAGTGGCGTGTCCACCGGCTCAGGTTGCCTCCTGAGAAGTGAAGGAGGAATCAAGAGCACACGCAGGATGAAGCCAGGGGCACCTGCAGAGGAAGACAACCACTCCTGCCAAGAGAAGATGGGTCAGGCACCGAAAGAGATACCAAACAAATTGCTACTTGATATTTTATTCATCTTTTTACATTTGTTTCCCATCTCCTTTGCTCTAAGTTCCCTGGTCACAGGAGTCATGCTTCCCCCTTCATTTCCCTGTAGGAAAGCGATCATGTCCAAAGGCTCAGAGGCCACACTCCTGGGGCTCAAAGCCCGGCTTTGCCACCGACTTCCTCACTGTGGGATCTCGGAAAATCTGCTTAGCATCTCTGTGTCCAAGGTTCCCTAACTATAAAATGTAAGTACTACTAATTTCTCAGATTGCTATGAAGAATGAATTTATTAATTTATGTAACTCTTAGAACAGTGCCTGGCAAAGAGTGCTTATAACAGTGCTTAAACAGTGGCTGCCACTCACACCTGAGTGGGTATGGAGTTAAGATTTACCTCTGCTTAAGAAGTGACTGACATGTACTAGTGGCGACTTGAACATAAGTGAAAGCTGTTAGCGTTACTTAGTGGACCCTTGTTTGTCTCTCTGAGAAGACACATGGATTGCCTTTTTATTTTTTGATTAACAGTAATGTTTTACTCAGATTTTCTATAAGGTGCGAGCTCTTCCATTTTCGAGAATATGCATGTCCTTCTCATCCTCTTGACAAAGGAGCACCTATTTATGTACACAGAACCCAGCAAGTCATTTGGGGCAATTCTGAAGCCTTTTGCTTTCCACTAATACCCTCACCCTTGCAGTCCAAGTCCTTGGAGAGGAGAAAATTTGTAATAGAACTTCACTCTCATTTGTTTTTATTCTAGTTGCACTGGGGACAGTGTATACTCCTGGGATTATGGTTTGTTCCTTATGTATCTGCTGAACTCAACAATGACTAAGGGCAATAGCTGGTTATTCAAATTCATCTTGACTAGGTAATGTAATAAACTGAAAGAGAGATGCAGTGAGGCATTGGCATTAAATACACAGAGAATGCAAAATATTCCCATGCAAAGCACTTTACCATGCGAGACTCTCAAACTAGTCCCATCTGATGCAGCACCTCATTTAACACTTATTTAGTTGGCTGCGGTTTGCTTTACTGTTCAAATCTGGGAGCGTGGGAAGTGGTGGCCTTAAGGACACTTCTGTTAGATTTGTAAGAAATTATCATTACACTAAGGGAAGCCCTCTCCATTCTGTATCAGAACTAAAGGTTCTTTTCTGATGTGGCATCCATAAGACCCAGTCTGTAAGATGTAAGGGACATTCACACCAGATAAATTACAGATAGAATATCAATTTACTAGGAACTATTGTACCTTTTCTTCCTCCCTGTTTTTCCTTTTTTCAGAATGCAATATAAGACAAATCCAACATAGTAGCTGTGTCTCTTCATTTTATGAAAGTCATGTGACTGATTTCTTCATTGAAATGGCGCTCTTATGTTTGTTCCATTTCACCATGACATTAACATCTCTATTTACTTTTCACATTATCCCATTTAGGCCATAGTTACTCTAGTGAATGTGGGGACAAATGACATGGTAAGAAGCTCTCAACAGCAACCAGGCATTGGCCTCCCGCGCCAGGTTAGGCTGGGCTTAGGGCTGAGTTGGCTGGAAGCTGGATTTCTCAGCGGTCAGAGCTCAAAGGATTGAAAGGCCAGCAAAGGGCCTTCTCTCCCCACAGGTTATGGGGCCCTAGTCCCTTGGTGCTCACTAACATTTATAAGCTGTGTGACCTTGACTGTAACTGCAAGGGGGTCTGGGAAATGAGGTCTAGTTGTAAACACAGAAGAATAGGAAATGGGTTCAGTGAATAGAAAACCCTCTCTGCTACCCTGCAGTTACAGACATCTAATGAGATGGGAGTGAAAGTGAGAGGTGCCATCTCTGGTGCCACCTACTATTAAAAAAATCTTCCCTGTGCATCTCTCCATGCTCTTTCCCCTTCTGCCAGCATGGCACAGGTGAGACTGCCATCTTGCAGGTCATGTGGTAGGGGCAGCAGAGCCATGAGATGGAAGGAATCTGGGTTCCTGAGTATCTGCTGGGAGAGAACCATCTGCTGATGAGCAACTTGTCTGGGACTTCAGGGAAGCAACAAGATAGACCTCCACCATGCCTGAGGTAGGATGTATTTTTGTATTTGTTAGTTACACTACCTAGCATTATGTTAACTGGTGAGACTTCTCTCAGGTTCCTCAGATATACGATGGGAACAGTCACTGAACCTAGTCCGCAGGGTTTTCGTGAGGACTAAATGAACTAATGCATGTAAAGGTACTAGTATCATGCTCAATCCACCTGAAGGTCAACGTCATTGATATTATTAAGCACTAATGTCTCAGAGTTTTCATTTGCAAAATAGGTACAATAAAACCTACCCTCACAGTTTTGCAAGGATTAGATACTGCACACACATAGTAGAAACCCACACACAATAAAGCGTGGAAATTGACACATATTTGTTCACTCATTACTTAACTGCTTTTATTATTACCTTTATAGAAATACAAACATTTACAATTTGGGAATCTTTTCTAAAATGAAGTTTCAATAGTTATAGCTTGATATAGTATAAAAAGAGTGCCCTAGATAGAAATTCACTGATGCAGTGACACTGAATAACTTTGATTCCGAAGAATCCAGGAGTACATCTTGTTAAAGAACCATTTCCTATTTAACTGGAAAAACAAAGCAGGGAAATTTCTTCAAGAATCTATGATGATTGGTTTTTAAGTCATGGACTGGAAACAAGTGCATTCAGACAAAATTCTGAAGTGTGAAAACAGCTATCCTCATTAGGACATTCTGGAAAATGTAAAAGGTTCTCTATTCTCTGATCTGCAAGATTTATGTTGTCAGAGAACAAGCATTAAACAGATGGGGAGATCTATTTATGATTTTCCCTTTTGCAATCTATAAGATGATGAGGATAAAAGCAGTTAAATTACAGCTTTGTTGCTTTTAGTGAAGTTAGAGCGGGATGACGAGGTTGGAAACCCTCAAAGCTGGGAGAGCGGAGGAAGAGTCAGACGGTCCCGGAGTCTGAGTAAGTGTGAGCAATAGCAAATGGGTGCCACCATACAAATTTTCTACCAATGAAGACACATGCACACACAGAGTAAAACAAATCAATAAAGCCAAGTACTGTTTGAGTCTCAATGAACAATTCCAGTGCTTACCTCGTAACAATGTACAGAACCAATGAAAATTTTTCCAATATCCAGCGATTCAAAATTGAAGTGAATCTTTGGTCCCATTCCTTCCCCTTTGATTCGGAGGGGCAGACGGAGCTCTCGGCCTAGAAAAACAATTCAGACTTTATGAACTGAAATGATGTCTTATTACCCCAAACTACCCACAACTTGTTACCAATGTAAGCAATTAAGATTATTGCACCACCTCTCTGCACTGGACCCAGGGAACTGCAGTTGAGCCAATGCTGAAAATTTAGCTTATCTTTAGGAAACAGGAATATTGTTAGTTTCTCATCTTTAGGGAACAGCCTATATTGCAATTTAGGCTGGTATTTTAGCAGGAAAAGAAAACAATTAAAAAAATGTAACCCAATCACAGCAGTACTCTTAAGTTTCTTACAAAGGAAAGTAATTTCTTTAAATCAAAGAAGGGGGACAACTGAGTGATACTTCTCATAAGATGAAAGTCACCATGGGGCTTCTAGGAACATTGTTCTCATCAGGAGTCCCTAAATTTAGGAAGATCCAGTTTAAGGGGTCTGAGTCTAGTAGTCTTACCCTTACTTTGCAGAGTTTCTTTAATGGGCAGGTAATGGAATACCCTAAACAATATCCACTATTACACATCCACAAGGGACCCAGGGTAAGTAGAGAACATAAGCTTTCAAGTATTGACTGGTTTTGATCCTTTTTAAAAATGGATATAACTTCATTGGGTAATACACAATCATTTAAAAAATATTCTAAAGAAAGTAGAAATTCTCATACAGTTCCATCACCCAAAGATAACCACTATTAGTGTTTGGGTGCCTGTCCTTCATTACCTAATCATATTTAAATATTGTTCATGTAAATGAGAGCATATGCTATATACTATTTTGTAACCTGCTTTTTTCACTTAACAGTACATCTGGAACATTATTATATATCATAACCTAAAGATGAGGTAAATATTCTTATCCAGTCCCTTTTGTTGGATATTCAAGTGGTTTCCAACCTTTTACTACAACAAATTACAATGTAATTAATATTCTTGAACACAGTTATGAACAATTTTCCTGTATTTTCTTCACCTGAAAGGTATCATCCTATTGTTTCTTGTCTTTAACTGTTTCAGTCGAGAAGTCAGCTTATAGTCTTATCCTCTGACTGGATAATGAATGAAATATTTTCAAAAACTGAGTGAATAAGAACTGTCTTAATCAAATCAATAATTAAAAAATGATTCAAAGCTGAGCTTCAGTCATTGTCAGGGCTGATCCGTTTCCAGTGCCCACTTGACCGGGCCCCATCCTAAAGCCTGTGAGATGGCAAGGGCCCTTTCTCCTTGGGCTGCCCATGAGCTTTGGTGTTTTCTTCCCTAACTCTACTTAACTTTTCAGCCTCTGCAATACCCACCAAAACGGCAGTGTCACTGAGCATGAAGTGGCTGCCGAAGACTGACTGTCTTGGGTTCTTTCACCTGGATCCTGGTCCCTTAATTTTCCATTGTCCTTGTAGTTCCCTTTTACCTTCAGAATAGTCTTTAAAAAATACTGTACCTTGTTTTTCAGTTGTTTTTGGAGAGAGAGTCGATCCAAATTACCTAGCCCACCATCACTGGAAGTAATAGCCAGAGCAAATAATACACATTTGACATTTTGACAGCTACGGCCATCCTGCCCTGTAGAATGGTTGTACTAATTTGCAGACAAACATCAACAGCATTTAAGGGTTTTTCTGTCTCTCCACCTACTCCCTGGTAGGGGTGATATCGCCATTTTCAAAAATCTTTGATGGTTTGATAGATTATCCTTAAATTTACACCAATTAAAGTTCAAGTTCTTTAGGAAAAAATATATTTTCTTTGTGTGTGACATTTTGAACATTGAAAATACTTTTGATGCACTGTTCGATTTAATTTTCAGCATTACAGAAAACAGATTGAACAACCAGGTCGTATTTCTAATTTATTATCATCGTTATAATGTCTTGTAGCATTTTATGTTCAACTGTCTTTTGTTGTTATTTAGCTTCTGCATCTTTAATGCTTTCTCCTCATTTTAAAGACAGGAATGCTTGTCTCTGTGTACCCTGTGGTGCCTGGCAACACAATGGTCATTAGGCAAGTATTACTTTGATTATAAGAATCAAGAGCAATTGTGCAAATATTTCAGATAGCTGATTCATTCAAAGGATTCCCCCAATCAATTTGATCCCTGGAAAAGAGGTCCCTCAAGGTATCAGGCATTAGTATTGAAAATACTCTAGAACATAAGTAAAACTTTGAGAGAGCCCACTCCATTATTTTAGAATTCTAATCTATTGGTAATGGTCTGTACTCCTTGGTCAAGTAAAAAGCATTTTGACAGAGATCCAACTTTCAGAATGGCAAAGAAAGAGAACTGCAAATATAGTGTGGAATAAACAGCAACCCTATTTATAGCTGTCAGGCTTAAAGCTTTCTCCATCTGTTTCCTTGACTGTCTTCCTTAATAAAAGAGAGTGAGATGTGTTGTAATAAAGCAGTGAGCCAATGTCTCATTGGACATTACTAATTACTTCAAAGGAGTTTGTCTTAATTGTAGCTAGCCACTTCCCTCACCCAGGATAGAATGGGAGTGCAAGTAACACCCAGCTTTGCATTTGCAAGAGTTAGTGTGAATTTTAGGGTTACATTACAAATGCTACTTCTCCACAACATGTGGAAGCAGGGAATTTTCTTGCCTTGGCAAAAAGCAGCAAGAGAGACAAGCTTGAAGGAACTAGAAAGCTCTAAGGACGGATTCCATATTAGAAGAGCAAAACATTAAAACGTTTTTTAAAATAAGGCAGTTTCTCTTCTATGATTACAGTGTCTTGATTTCACACAAGAAGCAGAGAGATGTACTACAGAGCTCCTTTAACAGCCTTGAAGTCCCTGAATGCAATAGATTACAATGAATTGAGTATCAGAAAATGTAACTATTGGCTTTCAATCTATCCTAGATGTCCAATATTATACTTGAGCTCCATTTCTGTGCAGAAAGACAAGAAAAATGGTAAAAAAGTGTAAATAGGAAGGACAAACTGCCATTATGCACATCATTTAGGACTGTACCTGAGAAATCCTAAAGAAGTAATTTTTTAAAATTAATGAGACAGAGTACGATTGATGATTATCAAATCAATATACAAAAGCCAACAGCATTTCTATACACAGGAACAATCAGAAAAATTAAGATTCTATTTACAATAGCAATAAAAATATAAAGTACATAGAAATAAATCTAACAAAATATACTCAAAACCTTCAAAAAGCAAACTGCAAAACATTATTGAAAGATAACAAAGATCTAGAAAAAAGAACAAGGCTATGTTCTTGAAAAGAAGATTCAAATCATAAAGTTATCAATTTTTTTTCCAACTGATATATATCTATAATCTTAATGCTCTACTGAACAAAATGCCAGCAGGTAGAATTGGGCAGAATTTGATGGGTTGATTATAAATGTAAAATCAAAGGGGCAATAATAACCAAGACATTCCTAAAGAAGAATAAGTTGAGGGAACTTGCCCTTTCATATATTAAAATCGATTATAAATCTATTGTAATTAAAATAATGTGTTTTGGGGGCAGAAAGTACAAAATGATGAAGGAAACAATACAAAACTCAGAATAAATTTACATAAATGTTTATTTGGTTTGTGACCGAGAAGATTGAAAATTGTAAGGGAAGATGGACTCTATAGTATAAAGAACTAAACAACGGCATTCAATGGGGTCTGACGTGGCAGGCTGAGAAATGACCCCAAGATATCCACTTCCTAAATCTATGAATATTACCATATATGGCGAAAGGTGTGATTAAGGTTTTTAAGATGCAGAGGTTATCTTGGATTATTTTGATGACTATAGTTGTAAAGTTGTCTCGAAATCAGGTAGTAGTTGTCTTCCAATTTTATTCTTCTTTTCCAAAATTGTCTTAGCTATTCTAGGTTCTTTGTATTTCCATATGAATTTTAGAAATCAGCTTGCCAATTTCCACAGAAAAAGCAAGTAGGGTTTTGATTTGGATTGCAATGAATCTACGGATGAATTTGGGGGAGAAATGGCATCTTAATGGTAATGAGTTTACCCACTTATTAACAAGGTATAGTTCTCCATTTATTTAGGTCTTTAATTTCTCTTGGCAATGTTTTGTAGTTTTCAGCATACAGGTCTTACACATCTTTTGTCAAATTAATCTCTAACTATTTCACATTTCTTAATGCTATTGTGAAACTACTTTTTAAAATTTCAATTTCCTATTGTTCATTGTACAGAAATACAATGATTTCCCTCCATATTTCTTTAGTATCCTACAACTTTGCTATACACTTGCTTTTTTAGTCTTCATTTAAAATAGATATTCTCTAGCACCATCTCCACAGATTTTGATTCAATAAAATATTGATGAAACCAAAGAATCTACATTTTCAATAAGCAGCCAGAGTGATTCTATGCAGACCCTCTAAGGATATTACCTTGAGAAATATATGAACATTGTTAATTATGTTAGCTGCAGACAACATGACAGAGTAAGCTAACTCGGTCCATCTTTCCACTTCAAATACCAAAGAAAAGCTTATTAAAAATAGGATAAATATACATTTTAAATATTTATCCAAGTCCAAAAGAAAGAAAGGAAAATGCCAGGTGCTAGAAATAAGAAGGGAACTCAGAGATTTGTAAAGTACATATAGGCCTTATAGATGAGGGGCTTCAGTTGTTAACACCCTCACAGAAACAGGTCACATGGCTTTGTTCCTATCTAGGAATGAGGAATTGAACTTAGATCTTTACATAAATCCAGGACCTTGAAAAGGATACCTCTTTCCCACAAGGAAACGAGACAAATTCTATCTGTTGGTCTAGGGAAACAGTGATGAAGCTTGTCCTCTGCCTGGCACCCTGAATAGGGAAAGAAGCTCCTGTGAGACACCAAAGTCCTGTGTACAAGTGTGGGATCTGAGTTTACACTATGTTATAGGCGAAAGGATCAGAAGCTGACAAAACGAAAGTTATATTTTCCTTGGCAGAAGAAATGAAAAAATTGCTCTGAAGGAAAACTTTCATGATCCAGTACTCATGCTGTCTTAGTCT